ATTCCATGCTAAATAAGTTTTTAGATTAGATGTGCAAGCATCACAGTTCAGAGACGTGCAAAACGGTATAAAATGTGCAAGATATTAGCATCAGTTCTCAGCTCATTGAAAGATGCGTCACTGGGTCAGTTAAAAATGAATCCCCATATTCTCTACAGGATCATTTAAGCAGAACAAAAAAGACCAACATACCCCCTGGCTTTGGGACTTCACCCAACATCCGTTTATGCCAATTAATTAGGTAACGCAAGACCTCCACGGGCCAAAGAGATGACGAAAAAAGGAGACAGTTTAATTTTATGTAGCTTCTTGTTTCTACAGAAGGTGCAAAATTTCGCACACAAGTGGAGGGCTTACTTGTCAGAAAATCTAAATATTCATCTTTTTCACAATTCGCATAAACCCAAGCGGCTGCACAATCGGTCGTAGATGGATACGATTGCTGAGAGGCCAAGAGGATTAGTAATAAGAATTGCCTTACGAAAACCATGCTGTCCATCCATACTTTCAGTAAGTTTGGCATATGGGTAGCGAGTAAAGATAAGAGTGCGGAACGTTCGGAGCATAAAACTGCTTTAAAGAAAGCCCCTGCTGAAGTAGCAAACAGCTGAAAGGAGGGAGAACCTCAAAACCGCTACTAGTTTGGCTTACTCGAGAAGGATGGGCAGCAGCAAAAGCGTTCGCCTGAATAAGAAGATCAAAGGCTTTGAGAGCGACTGTACCCTCTACCTCAAAAAAGCTCCAGTTCTCGACAACCTGAATGCCCAATACGGAAATCACCTCTGCCCATCGACGCATAAATGTACAGGCATTTTCATCGAACTCTACTGTGTTAAATGCAAGCCTAGCTAATAATACACGTGATGATTTCAAATAACCTGGAAATATCAAGGATTATATCTATCGGATCTTGGCCGATTCGGTCAGTAAATGCGAAGAAGTAAGTGTATGCATGAGTGTTGCCGGCTGATTTTCCCTTTTCCGTTATCGCATCAGTCTGCTTCTTGGTGAGCATGACACTTAAGACATCAGCTGCTTCAATGCGTAGCTTCGGGAGACGTAGAAGTAAAAGCAGGAGTTGAATACTTCCTACTGCTTCCGAAGTTACGAGAACGTGTTCAGGAGCCCTCCATTCAATTAGAGGCCTTAGATTAGACCACTCAAAGAGCACAGATAGAAGCGCAAGTGCTGACCGTAGAGCACTAATCGTATCTTCGCTGAAGTCCATCTCCTCAAAATCATTAAAGAATGGGATGAAAAAAAATTCAACTTACTAGAGATGTGTGAAATTTGACGGCAGAAAATATGGAATCAAGTGCAAAGTGCGCAATTTGTGGCACGTTGTCCGAAAGCACAGCGCATAGTTCGCGACGACGCTTGACGGGAACGTCGGGAAAAAATAAAATATCTTCAGAAAGTCGACGAAAAATATCAAAAACGATCAGAGATTGCGGCAGCTAAGGAGTGGAATCAAAGGAGGCGTCTTACCCCGACCCTCCCTATGCTGGTAAGTTCCGATATCATTAGCGGCCAGTTCTGAGGCCACTCACATTTTATTAGGTGAACCAGTATTTGAGTTACAGCGAGGCAAACAGCATTGCTCTCGCTATTTCGAAACACCATGTTGTCAAACTAAACAAAAAATTTTAATTATTGCGGTTGTACGTTTGTGATGAAGCAGCATATACGCTGGCGGACGTCCTGCTTTTCCTCTGGAGTCAGAGTCGCCCATTTTCGCCTACAGTAAACTCGAGAAAGTTTGCCCTACTTCACCCGGTGTTCGAGACATTTGAGACCAAAAAGTATCACAGTAGCCTCCTGTTCAGACGAGCAGAAGTAATCGAGGTCGCTCAGCTTAAAATCCGATTCTTTGTAATTTTCAGTGACCTTAATATAGGCGCTCGGTGACAACAAATCCCAAAACCTGGTGACACAACGTGCGGTCAGCATTTGATGTGAGCGGAGAAAATATTTTCAGTAAGCAATTCACCACATCCTCTAGTTTCATTTAGTTGATGTACAAATCAAATAGGAAAACCGTCCTCGTAAGAAAATAAACGTGCCAGAGATTTGATTGGATTAAATCTTTTGTTCAAGAAACCTTTCAAGACGGCTCATTAAAACACATGCGACTATAGTCTCATTACTAATCGATCTGTGCTATCTGTCTAACAATTTAAATATACGGTAAGAAATAAAGCAAGCATACTCTTTACAGCCTTGTATTTGATGGTTTGCTCAATAATTTACTTTGGTTTATGCCGCGATTTTCCATCGGGGTTTCCAACTTCCGATAAGGATCGAGATCATTGGGTCGGGCGTTCCAAGCAGTTCGATTAATTCCTTTGGAAATAAATCAAGTAACTTCATTTTATTCAAGGTAACTAGTAGCTCATTTGGTGACCTTTCTGTTTCACTTCGCGTTCTCACTTACGTCAAATACGCGTTTGTGTCGTTTAGGCCTGAATCGACTGGTGGTTCCTATGTCATGCGCTTGGTATCGCTAACTTGACGCTAGAGCCAATCGAAAAGTGGTGAGTTCTCTCCATTTTTTGCTGCATTCTTGTATGCTTATCGCATTTGTTTATCTTATTATAATCAAAGACCTTTGTAGCCTGTCTGTGATATTAAAATTTTAGGAACACTGCATCGTAACGTAGTTGCACCTCATTAGCTTATCTCGCGCACCTCTGTTTTGGCCAAATGTAAGGGGCTTTTTTAGTGTTTGACACATGGGAGTTCGTAAGTCTTCAGCGCGGCATATGGTTGATTACCTCTAATTTGTTCAAGCAGAACTTCATGTGTTAGTTTTTTGTGCGATGCTATACACCGATCAGAGCTGTTTTAACGTTGCACATTTTCCTTTGTTCTAAAACACTTTTCTTTGCTTCGTGTTGTCCTTGCCGTTTTATTCACCTGCAATTTTAATCGATTTTGTGGCTGACTTTACATGAATTTAACTTTTACATTCCGAGTTCGAAGGATCATAGAATACTCTAGGATGTGAAGTTTCATTTCCTCAGAAAGTTTACTCAGGTTCCTTGTGCTTGACTGTAAAAAGGACTTCGGTTTTTTGCCTTGCTTGTTGCCCATTTACTACACTTCTCCGATTACCAATGGTCATCAGTCACTCTTGTGGTTAGCATTGGCATGTTTTCATTCTTCTGTTTTCTCGGTATTTTAAAGCTGATTTATTCT